TTAGGCGGGATGGTGCTTTCACATTAAATCCATTCAGCATCGTTTCTAAACAACTGGTCCATTAGGAGAGAATCAGAGTTAATCACACATGAAGCCCTCTCTCTCTTGTTGTTGCTGTTGCATAATTAAACTATTCGCTTTAATGTACAGTTTCATGCATCAATGTAAAATATATCAAAACAATAAAGCGGGTTGTTTTCACATTAGCGGCGGCTAATAAAAGCACGCTCTGCGTCATTGTGGTTGACAGTAAATGTTAACGCTGTGTTATCTCTGACAGAGAGAGTTAATCACGGTGTTAGTCCCAACATGCTGTCAGTTCCTGCTGTGAACAACACACAGGGTCACATGACTGGGTCACATGACTGGGTCACATGAGGGACAGAAGTACACACATCCTGTACTCAAGTAGAAGTACAGATACTCGTGTTTAAAGATACTCTGGTGAAAGTAGAAGTACTGACTAAACTTCTTTACTCAAGTCAAAGTAAAGAGGCTTTGAAATGTACTTCAGTAAAAAGTACCCATAACTAGCAGCTGTTTTAAAGAGTACCTGACCTCCCTTTATATTAATAGAACAATAATGTCATTGTTAGCTAATGAATGTTTCCATGCTGAACAACGGCAACATGACAACGTTTTCATTGGTCCCTCTTCTTTAGAGAAGACCAGGAAATGATGGATACACGGATCGTGTTCAAATCAATAGGCACGCAATGACTCTAAATAATAATGATCACGCCACCAAACACACATTCAAACTAAAGGAACCAGCCTGTTTGGGAAATGTGAGAAGTAGAAAGTACAGGTATTTGAGTTCAACATGTAAGAAGTAGAAAGTACAGGTATTTGTGTTCAACATGTAAGAAGTAGAAAGTACAGGTATTTGTGTTCAACATGTAAGAAGTAGAAAGTACAGGTATTTGTGTTCAACATGTAAGAAGTAGAAAGTACAGGTATTTGTGTTCAACATGTAAGAAGTAGAAAGTACAGGTATTTGAGTTCAACATGTAAGAAGTAGAAAGTACAGGTATTTGGGTTCAACATGTAAGAAGTAGAAAGTACAGGTATTTGTGTTCAACATGTAAGAAGTAGAAAGTACAGGTATTTGGGTTCAACATGTGAGAAGTAGAAAGTACAGGTATTTGGGTTCAACATGTAAGAAGTAGAAAGTACAGGTATTTGGGTTCAACATGTAAGAAGTAGAAAGTACAGGTATTTGGGTTCAACATGTAAGAAGTAGAAAGTACAGGTATTTGTGTTCAACATGTAAGAAGTAGAAAGTACAGGTATTTGAGTTCAAAATGTAAGAAGTAGAAAGTACAGGTATTTGTGTTCAACATGTAAGAAGTAGAAAGTACAGGTATTTGTGTTCAACATGTGAGAAGTAGAAAGTACAGGTATTTGTGTTCAAAATGTGAGAAGTAGAAAGTACAGGTATTTGAGTTCAACATGTAAGAAGTAGAAAGTACAGGTATTTGAGTTCAACATGTAAGAAGTAGAAAGTACAGGTATTTGTGTTCAACATGTAAGAAGTAGAAAGTACAGGTATTTGAGTTCAACATGTAAGAAGTAGAAAGTACAGGTATTTGTGTTTCAACATGTGAGAAGTAGAAAGTACAGGTATTTGTGTTCAACATGTAAGAAGTAGAAAGTACAGGTATTTGGGTTCAACATGTAAGAAGTTAGAAAGTACAGGTATTTGGGTTCAACATGTAAGAAGTAGAAAGTACAGGTATTTGGGTTCAACATGTAAGAAGTAGAAAGTACAGGTATTTGGGTTCAACATGTAAGAAGTAGAAAGTACAGGTATTTGAGTTCAACATGTAAGAAGTAGAAAGTACAGGTATTTGTGTTCAACATGTAAGAAGTAGAAAGTACAGGTATTTGGGTTCAACATGTAAGAAGTAGAAAGTACAGGTATTTGGGTTCAACATGTAAGAAGTAGAAAGTACAGGTATTTGGGTTCAACATGTAAGAAGTAGAAAGTACAGGTATTTGTGTTCAACATGTAAGAAGTAGAAAGTACAGGTATTTGAGTTCAACATGTAAGAAGTAGAAAGTACAGGTATTTGGGTTCAACATGTAAGAAGTAGAAAGTACAGGTATTTGTGTTCAACATGTAAGAAGTAGAAAGTACAGGTATTTGTGTTCAACATGTAAGAAGTAGAAAGTACAGGTATTTGGGTTCAACATGTAAGAAGTAGAAAGTACAGGTGTTTGTGTTCAACATGTAAGAAGTAGAAAGTACAGGTATTTGGGTTCAACATGTAAGAAGTAGAAAGTATTTGTGTTCAAATGTAAGAAGTAGAAAGTACAGGTATTTGTGTTCAAAATGTAAGAAGTAGAAAGTACAGGTATTTGTGTTCAAAATGTAAGAAGTAGAAAGTACAGGTATTTGTGTTCAAAACGTAAGAAGTAGAAAGTACAGGTATTTGGGTTCAACATGTAAGAAGTAGAAAGTACAGGTATTTGGGTTCAACATGTAAGAAGTAGAAAGTACAGGTATTTGTGTTCAACATGTAAGAAGTAGAAAGTACAGGTATTTGGGTTCAACATGTAAGAAGTAGAAAGTACAGGTATTTGTGTTCAAAATGTAAGAAGTAGAAAGTACAGGTATTTGGGTTCAACATGTAAGAAGTAGAAAGTACAGGTATTTGGGTTCAAAATGTAAGAAGTAGAAAGTACAGGTATTTGTGTTCAAAATGTAAGAAGTAGAAAGTACAGGTATTTGTGTTCAAAATGTAAGAAGTAGAAAGTACAGGTATTTGTGTTCAAAATGTAAGAAGTAGAAAGTACAGGTATTTGTGTTCAAAATGTAAGAAGTAGAAAGTACAGGTATTTGTGTTCAAAATGTAAGAAGTCAAAGTAAAAAGTGGTCAGAAAAATAAGTAGTGGAGTAAAGTACTGATACCAGAAACATGTACTTAAGTACAGTAACAAAGTATTTGTACTCCACTACTTCCCACCTCTGAAGATCGAGGTTTTCTTAGATGACTGCATGCTAACGATGTGCTAATCAGTGTTAGCATGGTGCAACACAGAGGAAAGAGGGAAACACAATCACTTCAGAATAACAGGCTAAAGTTACACAATAAGATGTTATATATATATTGTTTATTGAAATGAAACCACACTACATGACACTCTTTTTGATAGTTAATCACATGTTTTACTGTGCGGTTAACATTTTACGCCTCCAAATCCCCAAATATTAGATTCATATGACATTTAGGGAGCCACCAAACATGAGTCAGACTTAATAGTCTAGTTACACAGAAATATATCTTGCAGTGTTGTTGACGCCAGAATCTAAATATTATTACATTATTTGAATCCCTTTTTTGCATCCAATTGTGACCGGGTACCAACATCATATTTTATATATATTGTTGACGCAATAATCAAAAGGGGAATGGCTCTAACTCGACATTTGAGATGACACACTTTAAAATGTAACTCTGCTGCATTTATTAGTGAAATAAGCTCCTCTACTCAAACCTAGGGAAATGATTTCAATGTATTGAAAGGAATATATGAATTTATTTTAAAAAGTTTTGAGTCAATAGCTATATACTTTTAATGTAGTGTTTCTTGTATTATTATTATTATTATTATTATTATTATTATTATTATTATGAATCCCTTTTTTGCATCCAATTGTGACCGGGCGGCTATCATCATTAGCACACCTCGACTTTTAATATATGAGATTTAAAAGATCCTTCAAATATTAATTTTATAATAACAGTTGTTTCTCTGCTCTTGTATTATCTGTTCATTGTATTTCTAGGTTATGAGCACTATTATTTTTAGGGGGCATTTCTGTCATTTCTGTAGAAGTCTCAGTGGATAGTAACGTGTGAAGAGGGCAGGGATATATGTGTGAGGACATTAAAACACACTAAATTAAACACACACACACACACACACACACACGCACACACACACACACACACACACACACACACACACACACACACACACACACACACACATGCACACACACACACACACACACACACACACACACACACACACACACACACACACATGTTCTCATTGTGTGTGAAGGGAGTGCACTCACGATGCTCTTTGAGCTCTCTTCCTGAGAGGCCTTTCAGAGGAAGAGACATTATTTATTTATTATCTTCATAATTTATTATTTTCTGGCCCTAATTAGTTCAGGTTCTCTTTGTGTTTCTGATATTCTTTAGTGTGTTTCTGGCATGCTGCAGACATGTTTTTTCATTTTTTCCCCGGCTGTATTCACTGTGTTCGTGTCTTTGTCCGCGGCTCAATTGCAGCAAAGCATTCTGGGACTTGTGAAACCTGAGTGCTGCGAGGCGTCGGTTTAATGACGGTTCCTCACACACACACACACACACACACACACACACACACACACACACACACACACACACACACACACACACACACACACACACACACAGAGACACACACACACACACACACACACACAGAGACACACACACACACACACACACACACACACACACACACAGAGACACACACACACACACACACACACACACACACACACACACACACACACACACACACACACACACACACACACACACACACACAGCATGGGTTTGGATGCTCTATCTATTCAGATGCTTCCCCATAAACACAAAAAAAACTTTAAAAGACAAAAATACTATTTAAATAATTTACACAAAAAATGATAGAAATGCTTGTTGCAGGTCTCACAAAAATATATGTAATAAAATGTCATATAAATAAGATTAAAAGATTGGTGAAGATAAGTTGTCATGACAGATATACCTTAAAAAAAAAATATCCATCATAATAAATACATTTAATTGATATAGCGCTTTTCAAGACACAGGAGATGCGTCATTGTTTTTTACTGGTAAAGAAATGCTTTGATAGTAATATTAAATCCTCTTCTTCTCCTTCCTCCTCCTCCTCCTCCTCCTCCTCCTCCTCCTCCTCCTCCTCCTCTTCCTCAGCTTGCTACCTGGGACTCAGTTCATGGTCTGAATGGCAGTCTGAAGGAAAGTCGGATAGAGAACGGGATGCAGGGAGTCACCGTGAAAGTGGTCACTCTGCTGGTACGTTTATTAACACTCTGTATTTATTCACATCTCCATCAGACACACTTCTACTGACTGCACTTTCTGCACCTAGGGTACATTTATAGGTTAGTTTGTGTTCAAGGTCACCTGTTCTGCAGAGTCCTCTTCTTCATGTCTCTTCTTCATCAACATGTGTCCCCTCTTCTTCATGTCTCTTCTTCATCAACATGTGTCCCCTCTTCTTCATGTCTCTTCTTCATCAACATGTGTCCCCTCTTCTTCATGTCTCTTCTACATCAACATGTGTCCCCTCTTCTTCATGTCTCTTCTACATCAACATGTGTCCCCTCTTCTTCATGTCTCTTCTACATCAACATGTGTCCCCTCTTCTTCATGTCTCTTCTACATCAACATGTGTCCCCTCTTCTTCATGTCTCTTCTACATCAACATGTGTCCCCTCTTCTTCATGTCTCTTCTTCATCAACATGTGTCCCCTCTTCTTCATGTCTCTTCTTCATCAACATGTGTCCCCTCTTCTTCATGTCTCTTCTTCATCAACATGTGTCCCCTCTTCTTCATGTCTCTTCTTCATCAACATGTGTCCCCTCTTCTTCATGTCTCTTCTACATCAACATGTGTCCCCTCTTCTTCATGTCTCTTCTACATCAACATGTGTCCCCTCTTCTTCATGTCTCTTCTACATCAACATGTGTCCCCTCTTCTTCATGTCTCTTCTACATCAACATGTGTCCCCTCTTCTTCATGTCTCTTCTACATCAACATGTGTCCCCTCTTCTTCATGTCTCTTCTTCATCAACATGTGTCCCCTCTTCTTCATGTCTCTTCTTCATCAACATGTGTCCCCTCTTCTTCATGTCTCTTCTTCATCAACATGTGTCCCCTCTTCTTCATGTCTCTTCTTCATCAACATGTGTCCCCTCTTCTTCGTGTCTCTTCTACATCAACATGTGTCCCCTCTTCTTCATATCTCTTCTTCATCAACATGTGTCCCCTCTTCTTCATGTCTCTTCTTCATCAACATGTGTCCCCTCTTCTTCATGTCTCTTCTTCATCAACATGTGTCCCCTCTTCTTCATGTCTCTTCTTCATCAACATGTGTCCCCTCTTCTTCATGTCTCTTCTTCATCAACATGTGTCCCCTCTTCTTCATGTCTCTTCTTCATCAACATGTGTCCCCTCTTCTTCATGTCTCTTCTACATCAACATGTGTCCCCTCTTCTTCATGTCTCTTCTTCATCAACATGTGTCCCCTCTTCTTCATGTCTCTTCTTCATCAACATGTGTCCCCTCTTCCTCATGTCTCTTCTTCATCAACATGTGTCCCCTCTTCTTCATGTCTCTTCTTCATCAACATGTGTCCCCTCTTCTTCATGTCTCTTCTACATCAACATGTGTCCCCTCTTCCTCATGTCTCTTCTTCATCAACATGTGTCCCCTCTTCCTCATGTCTCTTCTTCATCAACATGTGTCCCCTCTTCTTCATGTCTCTTCTACATCAACATGTGTCCCCTCTTCTTCATGTCTCTTCTTCATCAACATGTGTCCCCTCTTCTTCATGTCTCTTCTTCATCAACATGTGTCCCCTCTTCTTCATGTCTCTTCTTCATCAACATGTGTCCCCTCTTCTTCATGTCTCTTCTTCATCAGCATGTGTCCCCTCTGTGTAAAGAGACTCTGAAAGTTTCAGGAACAAAGATTCTCTCTCTTTTTGATCCATTTCTATAAAAACCTGTCTGAAAATGAGCTGATCAGATTTTGGCCACTTGATGATGTCATAACGATGTTTTGTCTTGTGTAACCATTCACCAATCAGCAACCAAGGTAACCCCCCCCCCCCCCCCCTTATCACCTGAATCTCCTCCTAGAGCACCATTGAGTTCTTTGTAACCAAATGTCTCTCAGAGGGGCGTGGGGAGGGGCTCCTTATTTTCATCTGAAGTAACAGACAGAGAATCAGCACTTTGGAAACAGGGCTGAAACAGAGGGGATTATGGGTAATGCTGCAATGATCTGTTTGGTGTTTCAGCCAATCAGAGACAGGTTCTGGATATATCTGAGACCTGTGATATACTGATGAAGAAGAGGATAATAGGGGACCTTTAAACTATAACAATTCCTCCCTGAAATAACACCAAACATACTTCCACCATCCAACTACACAATTCTAACGTTAGAGTTAGAGAATAGTTTGAAAACTTCAGAAATAGACGTGTGTGTGTGTGTGTGTGTGTGTGTGTGTGTGTGTGTGTGTGTGTGTGTGTGTGTGTGTGTGTGTGTGTGTGTGTGTGTGTGTGTGTGTGTGTGTGTGTGTGTGTGTGTGTGTGTGTGTGTGTGTGTGTGTGTGTGTGTGTGTGTGTGTGTGTGTGCTCCTCTGTCAGTCCTTTAAAAACCTCCAATTATTGATGTAATAAAATAATCTCACACTCCGCAGCACAGAACACACTCCACTAGCTTCACACTGAAATCCTGTCAATAAAGAGAAGCTCAGAGAGGTTTTATTATCCGTCTGCGTTCACTTTCCTCGCTAAAAGTTTCCCCCTCACACACTTTATTTATTTTATTTCACTTTATTTTATTTTTCTGGAGGCGTCGGTCCGCAGCTTGCCTCCGGACAGAGATTAGTCTAACAGATACAAACAGAGCACGACTAAAACCTTCATCCTGCACACACACACACACACACACACACACACACACACACACACACACACACACACACACACACACACACACACACACACACACACACACACACACACACACACACACACACACACACTTCCTGTCCATATGAGAAGTCAACTTTGTATTTTATTTAACCATTTTCAAACAACAAATGCAGTTAGTAAATACATGTTGCTGTGTGTGTCTCTTTAGGAGGATCCCTTCGTGATGGTGGCAGAAAACATCCTGGGTCAGCCCAAGACATATAAAGGGTTCTCCATCGATGTCCTCGACGCACTCGCCAAAATCCTCGGCTTCAAATACGAGATCTACCAGGTGGGAAGGAAGGGTTAGATCACACAGTTTAACAGAAGTCACTTTAGATTATATCACACTGTCTTTGTCAAAGCTTTTGATTGGACGGTGAATTATGTGTCACTTTGAAATAAAACCTGTATTGTGCAGAGGTCATGGGATGTTGGGATTTCGGTTGAACCGAAGTCCTGACTTGGTGAGATAAACTGAATACACTTTCTGTCCTGCAGGTGTCTGACAGTAAATATGGATCTCAGCTTCCCAACGGCTCGTGGAACGGTATGATTGGAGATCTCATTAACAAGGTAAAAACCAAAAGTAATTAAGTACTAAACAGGGAGTAAGTAAAAACTAGATAATTGATGTTTATGTTTTGCATGCCGAAAAGTCTTTAAAGTCTCAAGATACTGAACCCTGAGTTGCTCCTGATGGCCAACGGTGTGTGAGTGTGTGTGCAAGTGGTGCTGCTCTACATGAATGAGGTGTGAATGGGTGAATGACCCGTAGTTTGTAAAGAGCTTTGAGGAGTCATAAAGACTTGATAAAGATATTTATAAGTACAGTCCAGTTTCCATTTCCAGCCTCTCAAACCTGGAGATCTGATGATTTTCTCAGTTTGATATTGTAGAAATAAATACTGTTTTTAGGACTCCTTAAGTTTTGAATGCCACTGATGGCTAAGAGACAGGAAACTGAAAGTCCTGTTTTATATTGTCCCTGCTTCTTGCCTCTGATTGGCTCTCCTCCTCCAGAGGGCGGATCTTGCGGTGTCGGCCATCACCATCACCCCTGAGCGTGAGAACGTGGTGGACTTCAGTAAACGTTACCTGGACTACAGCGTGGGGATTCTGCTGAGGAAACCGGAGGAGAAGATCAACATCTTTTCTCTCTTCGCGCCCTTCGACCTCGCCGTGTGGGCCTGTATCGCCGCCGCCATCCCAGTGGTGGGCGTGCTCATCTTCCTGCTGAACCGCCTGCAGGCGCTACGCTCCTCCGCTACCCAGAATGCACCACAAGGACAACCGGCCAATGGCGTGGTGGGTTCAGGCTCGCTGCAGAGCGCCGTGTGGATCGTCTACGGAGCGTTCGTTCATCAAGGTGAGGGGAAAACAGTGATAGATACATAGTAGTATAAGTAGGAAATGGCTAACATAGATGTTACCTTTTTTTTGTTGCATTGTATGAATGTATTAAAGGGGCCCAAATAGGATTTTTTGGTTTTTCCCTTTCCTGTGTTATATAGGTTCTCATCTCTAAGAAAACATGCACAACATATTGCAGCAAGATACACATTTCCTTTCCATTTCAAAATAAACTCCTTTCTTCTGCACGTATAATGTAATTTCCAGCTTTACTTTCAAATGCAAAATCAAGTATTTATGCGAGTTATTTAATGAATTCAACACAGTAGCTTTATTCATCTTGGCTGCATTGAATTTAAGCAAAAATATCATCACTTATCCGAGACAGTTGTTTAAAAAAATCAATATGTTTCTCACTAATTTTAGGGTCAGAGTCAGGTCTATTGGCAACTAAGTTTACACAAGTTGTTAAATAAGAGAAAATATAGAACTATTGTGAAAACTATGCTAAAATAAATATAAATGTGTAAAAAAAAGGAAACTAATTAATAATGAAATGTAAGAGAAATGTCCAGTATATTGGAATTTTAAATCTGAGAAGCTGTGCAGTTTTAAAAAGTTAGTTTTCTGCAGAAATGTGTAGAAAAGTCCCTGCTAAGAACAACTTTGGTAAACGTTAACCTGCAGATATAATCAGGCTATAATTCAATGAAAGCATATTGCTCTGGAGCTTCGAATCTAAATGATATTAATGTTGTTGCTTAAGTGGAGTTGTTCTGTTCATGAGAAGTCTAGAGTCTCCTGATTCTCAGTTTGTAATGCGTGTGATTCTGCTGTAATACAAACGTCCTCTGAAAGTCAAACGACTGAAATGTTCTCAGAGTTAAACTCGGCTCTCTGTCTGAAATCAATCAGCTCTGATCGCAGTGAAAGGGAAGATTATCTGCCGTGTAAAGAGGGATTTCTGTTTGACTCTGAGCTGTTTCACGGATTACACAACAACACGAGAGGCAAACAAAAACCACCGGAGGATTAACAGCAGCGTCTGAAATATTTAGTAAGAAGCACATCAAACTTTAAAGTGCTTAAGTGAATTAGGAGGAGGGTTAGATCATCCAGGAAATGTCACTGTGAGGAACAAATGTAGGTCTTTGTGTGGCAATGTTTGTAGATAGAGATGAAGACAAGAAGACAAACAGAAACACTGCAGTTACATGTCAGGGTTTAATATAACAGTGAAGAACATTCATCTTTAAATAATAACAGAAATTCACATACTTTCTTAAATGTTTCATAACTTTTTACTCAAACCGTAAACAAAAATAGCTTGAAAACACAAAAATTACCTTAAACTCACCTTGCAAAGCTTCTTTCCTTACCTCCTTAAAAGAATAACAATTTAAAAATAGTGTAACACATCTTTTGTATTTCTTTTTTTTGTTGTTGAATATATAATTTCCCAAAATGTCCCTGTTGTTTTTAATAACCTCTGTTTTTTGTTCACTCCAATTTGCAAAGTTTTCCTAACTTCCTTCAAAATATCCCCCTACAGGGCGAAAGTATATAGCGGGAGAAACCTTGTTTGTGATCTTAAAAAACAAACTAAAACAAATGGCAAAGAAAAGCTGATTGTATCTGAACTTAAATATTATTTAGAGACATCCCTAAACTTAAAAAAAACAATGTCCACAAGACTGTCCTCAAAATATCCTCTTTTTCACGGGTTCTCACAATGATAGGAATACAAGAATACACACACACACTGAAATATGTGTTTCCACATGCACAGGTGGATCCATGCAAACACACTCCAGCATGAACACACACACACACACTCTCAAATACACACACACACAAACCACTTTCCCAGCTGCACCTATTATGGTCTGGCAGGTTGCCTGGGAAACCTTTTAGTGCTAACAGGATGTGATTAGCTCTGTTTGCTGTGATAAAGCCTGGCGCTCACCTGCTGATGGATCAGGTGTTTCCACTGAGAGCGACCCGTACCTGAGAGATCAAAGGAACACACACCTGGAGCTGGACTCTCTGAAAACACTCTGAAAACATTTGTAAATCACGGCTGGAGTTGGATCAGAATCAGAACAGCTTTATCCCTCGCACAGAACGGGACATTTTGAAAACTTACTGGGATTTCTAAGAGATTTTTCAGAAAAGAAAGACATTTCAAGGAAGGGACAGTTTTAGAATTGGCGGTTGTGTTTTAAAAAGTGCAGAGGATATTTTGAAAGTGAGATTTTATTTTGAAAGGTCGGACATTTTAGCAAAGTGGGGACATTTAAAAAATACACTTTTGGTACTAAAGGACATTCAAGGCATTATTTTTGGTAAATAAAAACAAGTTAGGAGACTGGAAAAACATCTTCAAGTTTTTCCAAATGTCTGACTGGATTTACATTCTTACAGAAAAGGAAAAGAGGCTACGTATAGCGAAATATTAATGAAGACGCATTTATAAAATATATAAGATATAAGTAGAATCCACACATCCAGGACCAGTAAAAGTATTTAAAATAAATGTGTGTAGCATGTTGAAAGTAATGTGATACGTAATAAATGTGGATGTATATATTGCACGGTTATTTACAGATTTATTACAGAAGTTGAATTGTCTAACTGTGTGTTGTGTGTGTGTGTGTGTGTCTTTCTGTGTGTGTGTCTCTCTGTGTGTGTGTGTGTGTGTGTGTGTGTGTGTGTGTGTGTGTGTGTGTGTGTGTGTGTGTGTGTGTGTGTGTGTGTGTGTGTGTGTGTGTGTGTGTGTGTGTGTGTGTGTGTGTGTGTAGGAGGGGACTCTGTGATTGGCTCAGTGGCTCTCAGGATCGTGATGGGCAGCTGGTGGCTCTTCACGCTCATCGTGTGTTCGTCGTACACCGCCAACCTGGCAGCGTACCTCACCGTGTCCCGCATGGACCACGCTATACGGTAACACACACACACACACACACACACACACACACACACACACACACACACACACACACACACACACACACAGCTGTAGTTACTTCACGGATAAAGTGATCATAGTTTGACTGAAAGCAGTTTTAAGATAATTGTTGGTCATAAAAATAACATTTGATGATTCCAGATTTGCCTTTTTGCCTCCTACATAATGTTTGTAACGTTTATTTTTTTGTAATAATGTTGAGGTTTGGACCAAACATTGTAAAGGTGTCACTCTAGGGTCATTTCCCACTATCTTTGCAAACCAAAATGGTTGGAGCCAGCTCATTAATCTCAGAAAATATCCTGTCTGTTTTAGTGAAAATAGCTTTTCTTAGAATATTGCCGTCCTCCTTGGTCTTTATTATTTATGTGTTCAACCTTAAATCACCCCAGTTCACCCCAGGAGTTCATGGACAAACATGTTGAGGACACTCGGTGCTTTCCTCTGAAGCATTAACGTTTAAATAGACCTGATCAGACTGTGTGTTACTTTATTAGAAGAGAACATGTTGTCTGTTTTCTGTCCACATGCAGCTCAGACTTTAACACATCATTATTCTGGAGCTCTCCTTGTTTTAATGTTGTGCTGCAGCACCTCTTTTCACCCTCTGTCTGAAACCAGAGCTCAGTCTGCTCTGATTGGTTAGCTGGTCTATCTGTTGTGATTGGTCAACCAGCTTAGAGATGTCTCGCCCCTTAGCCTATCCCGTACAATGTGTTGGAGCGCTAGCCAATAGGAGCGCGAGTGTTACATGGTGAGAGAAAACAACTTCTACTTGTTCCTCACCTTCAGACTTCCCTCTCTTTTTATTCAAATACTGTAAAAGGTTATTAGCCTCTTGTACTCGCTGCATGTTTGCACAACTAAACACGGTTTTTAAAAAGACGCTGGATAACTTCTGCCAATACTTTTAGATCTGTTAGATTATCAACAGTCCTGAACGCATGAGAGAGAAAGGGTCACCTATATTCAATCCTTCAATATTCCTTTAGTGCGTAAGGGTCTAACGGACCGTCCACACAGCAGCGTTAAAAAAAATCTTGGAGGTGGGCGTATCTGAAGCTTGGGGATTTTTTGCGAGCAACGCACCAACAACCAATCACATGAATCTCCCGCCCCCGACATACGAAGCAAAAAAGCCCGAAGTAAACTGGATATAAACTCCCCAAACAGGCGAAAACCTACCACTGTCTCTGCCACCTCCCTCCATGCCTGGCTCCTCCGGTTTGTTTCCCGGTAGGTAAATAGGGACTGGTCATAAAGCACCGGGTGATTCCCTACCGCTCATTTCTCCTCCATGTTTACAGCATACACACGGTTTGATTGGCTAGCGCTTGAACTGTCAGATTTGCATACACGGGATTTGATTGGTTGACGCTTCCACCTCAGCTTCAAAAGTTGAACATTGCTCAACTTTGAATCCTGCAAATCCTGGAAATCTCCGCTCTGCTTCCCACAATGCAGTTCGGCGAAAAGTGAGGCAAAGTGACGTCACCCCATTCAAAGTGAATGGGCAGAAGCGTTAGAAGATTTTTTTAACGCTGCTGTTTGGACGCTCCGTAATGATGAAAATGAATTAATATTGTGAATACATTACTATATTTCACCCGAAAATATGTCATTGTTTTATAAAAAGGAAACTGCAAATCCTCATTGAACTCACCAACATGCAGGATGTGGAGAAGAGGAGCTGATATCTCCCTTTTCATTTGACTTTGTGTCACATTTATGAACCTGCTGCACATTTTTGGATCAGTTAGATTCCATTTTGTGGCAGAAACAACAACATTCACTCAGATGTTACCAGCATGTTTAACAACAGAGGGGTTGCCTACATTAATGTATTGATATTCCTTTAGTCCATAAAAGTCCATTGGTTAATATTGTGATATTTCAGCGAAAAAAGATATTAAATTGCCTCGAGAAAAAGCTGCAAACCCTCTGTAATCCGAAAGAAGTTCAGGCTGTAGTGGAGCTGATGTAGATTTTCCACGCCTGCATATTTCTCCGTTAAAACTTGACACCAGCGCTTCAGAGATCAAGTGTTTAATGCATGTGGAGAAGCAGAGAGTGTGCGAGTGTGAGAGTTTCTAACATTTAACCCTCCTGTTTTTACTGGAGAACAAAGTGTTACTCTGCAGGAGACGAGGAGCTTTCAAATCGGTCAGAAGTTTGAACTCTATTTGCAATTCATGCACAGTTTCATGCATTTCGGTGTGTGAAGTTTAGAGGATGTAACCGGGGATTTCTGGAGGAAGGAATCCACATTTAAAGGTCCCATGCTTTTCTGGTTATTACCCGTCCCCTTGGTCTTTATTATGTATGTGTTCAACCTTAAATCACCCCAGTTCACCCCAGGAGTTCATGGACAAACATGTTGAGGACACTCGGTGCTTTCCTCTGAAGCATTAACGTTTAAATAGAACTGATCAGACTGTGTGTTACTTTATTAGAAGAGAACATGTTGTCCCTTTTTTTTCGCTTGTAGCTTCTGCATGTAAACGGTCTGCAGAGTCACAAACCCTCAGAGTACACCCTGTAGCGAGTAAAACTCGAACACAGAAAAGACCTCTCTATGCTGCCCCAGAACGCCTCGTTGGACATTTTTCTTTTTCTTCCAAGCGACGTAAGGGCTACCTCACACACACTCACTCAGCCCTATTTTTCTCAGCTGCAGCTCCGCGGATTTCGCAGCCTGAGACAGCGGGACACGGCGAGGCCCGGCCCAGGCTCGGTCCGAGCACACACACAGACCCACAGCCAGGCTGCCGGTGTGTGTGTGCTCGGACCGAGCCCGGGCCGGGCCTCGCCGTGTCCCGCTGTCTCGCAGACCAGGAAACAACACCAGGAATCCAGCTCACACTGTCCGCTCCTCGAGCCTCAAAGGGCGGAGCAGCGAGCCCCCCAACGTCCCCCCCAACACGGCACCCAGACCCCACGCAGCATTCTCATCTGTTTGTCATTACTGGTGTCATTTCCTGGTTGCTAACAAACGCCATTGTAACACATAATCACTGATGTTCTGTAACGGTGGTGGACTCATCAGAGTGGGCGAGCTGACCAATCAGAGCACAGTGGGCTCACAGGCAGGAGCTACAACAAGCCGTTTAGGACAGAGAGTGAATACACAGACTATACAGAGATGCTGTATGAGAAACCAATGTGAGTTTGGAACATTGAACAATGTCAATCTATTCTAGTAGACCTCAACAATGGAACTATGATCAGTAGAAAGGGCCATGACATGGGACCTTTAACTCTAAGCCCACCCACATGATGAGATTCATTATTATATATTTAGTATTTATAAACAGGCTTTCCATTGATTTGCTGCATGATGTGAACAGGTCAAAAATAAACAAGAGATGAGCCAAAAACTGACATTTCAAACTTGTTCTGACAAGTTTATAAACAGTATGTCTATATCTAAAAGTGTTTTCTTTTATATTTTAAAGTTTGAATAGTGATTAAAGAGGTATAAACATTCACAGATCCTTCTCTCTCTGCTAAACAGACTTTCAGAAATACAAGTATGCAGTTAAAACAACTCAAAATCACCTTAAAAGTTCATCCAAATTGCTTGTTTATAACAAAAGATTGGAAAACTAAAATATTGCAGTTACTAAAAGTAGATCTAGGTACATGTGTAAATATGTTGATCAGGATTAAAGTCTGTTTTAAAGAACATCTGTTGTCAATACGTGTATAAGTTTAAAGTTTGGAGACTCTGCAGTTATAATAATAATACACGAGAAGATACTTCATAGACATCTGCTCATGAATGCAGACTGTTCCAGACAGCCAGCAAATTATGAATATCCCTCCAGCTCTTTCAGAAACATGTCTTGCAGGTGGTGATTTCATGAAATTACAGTAAATCACAGCTTTCTGCAGAACATCAAATGACATCATCTTCATCCTCCTCTTCATCCTCACATCAGAGAGAAACACAAAATACCTTCTTTGTGAAATGTCTTTAACAAATTGGTTCTTTAAAATGACATAAAACAAACATTAGGTGGATTCGTTGGGGACTATTTTCAGCGGAGGATTAATACACATCTAGTGCCTTTTTAACACGAGTAAACGCACGTATTTTAATCGTATTTCATATTTTATTCAACACAAAACAACTGATAAACTTTACAATTAGGGAATCTGCAGAAATCCTGTTTTCTGTCTGTTTTTTTTATCTATTGCAGTTGTAGAAGCGTAAAGTTTTTGTCTACGACTGCATTCAAATATTTTTCTAGACTTTTTTCTAGAAAGTAAAAAAAAATACATTATTATAAGAAAAAAGTCAGGAATCTAAGAAAAAATTCATCTGACTTTTTTATGAGTAAAAGTCAGAACTATGAGATTTTGAGAAAAAAGTCAGAATTTGGAGATTTTTGATAAAAAAAGTCAGAATTTGGAGATTTTTGATAAAAAGTCAGAATTTGGAGATTTTTGATAAAAAGTCAGAATTTGGAGGTTTTTGATAAAAAGTCAGAATTTGGAGATTTCGCGAAAAGTCAGATTTTAAGAAAAAAGTCAGAATTTTGAGGTTTTTGATAAAAAGTCAGAATTTGGAGACTTCGCGAAAAGTCAGATTTTAAGAAAAAAGTCAGAATTTGGAGATTTTTGATAAAAAGTCAGAATTTGGAGATTTTTGATAAAAAGTCAGAATTTGGAGATTTTTGATTAAAAGTCAGAATTTGGAGATTTTTGATAAAAAGTCAGAATTTGGAGATTTTTGATAAAAAGTCAGAATTTGGAGATTTCGCGAAAAGTCAAATTTTAAGAAAAAAGTCAGAATTATGAGATTTTTGATAAAAAGTTTGAATTTTGACATTTTTTGAAAAAAGTTTGAATTTTGAGATTTTCAGACAAAAGTCCAAGTTATGAGAAACTGATAATTCTGACTCTGAATGTTTCCCAGTACACAGTCCTCCTTTATAACATGTCCTCTGTGCTCTCTGTCTGGTTTTGCATCTGTTCTTTATTACCAGTGAATTCCTGTTGTTCCATCATGATATCAAACAGCCTCTCCGTGTCAGACGCTGCTTTGTCTCCTGCAGTCTCTCTTCTTCACGCTGTTAAATGTCAGGTCTTTTTATTTCCACGCAGCAGGATCAGAGGCGATAACAAACGCAGAGTCATCTCTTTATCAGCGTCTCCAATGCATTTCCTCTCCGCATTGAATGCACCATCACACTCTCGACACACTCGACGGAAAGCTCGGGAACATCCACTTGTTTCTTTTTGCCAATTTATCTTGTGTATGAATAAATAATGTTATCTCCCATCTAAAGGCACTCGTCCTCCTTCCTCTTCCATCTATTTCCTCGTCTCAGGATCAAATCCGATCCGACACTTCCATCAGCGTGTTGTTGCGTTCAGAGCGAATGCAGAGCGCGAGACGGCGTGTTTATAGACGTCCGATGCACGGTGGAGTGCAGATTTATATGAGATTTCAACGTCTTTGACGCCTTTGAGATGTTTCATTCTGAGGGACTTCCACCTCCTTATTTTACACATGTATTGATCCTCCCATGTTCAGGTCTTTATTTACACATGTATTGATCCTCCCATGTTCAGGTCTTTATTTACACATGTACTGATCCTCCCATGTTCAGGTCTTTATTTACACATGTATTGATCCTCCCATGTTCAGGTCTTTATTTACACATGTACTGATCCTCCCATGTTCAGGTCTTTATTTACACATGTACTGATCCTCCCATGTTCAGGTCTTTATTTACACATGTACTGATCCTCCCATGTTCAGGTCTTTATTTACACATGTATTGATCCTCCCATGTTCAGGTCTTTATTTACACATGTAGAGCCTGATTTCCAGATCCAGACTGAAGGAGGTTTTCATCCTGTTTTTATTTAGTCAAGTTTTAGTCGACTAAAAGTCTGAGCATTTTAGTCAAAGAAAACTAAATATTTTAGTCCACCTTTTGTTAATGAAAACTGTTGACATTTTAGTCTTTTTTAGTTATCAGATTATATTGAACATATCAGTCAAAAGTCTGGCCAAAACCAATCATTTGTCATTTTAGTGAAACTTATTTCACAATAAGATGATATCTTATCCTTATTTGATGAACAACACAGGTTGACTGATTAAGAAAGCAGCTTTGCAGAGAGTATCTGGTCTAGTGGTTTGATGGTATCAATTTAAGGAATACATCCAGACATGGAACATGTTCTGATTTGCATATTTATTTTTGAACCAACACAATTCAACAATACAGGGTATGCTACTGTAGTACACACGTACCAATTGCAAAATAAAATAAATAATGTGGTCTGTTTTAACAAGAAAATAAAACAATGGTGCCTCTTGAACTGCTGTCTAACAAGCTAGTTCACATGGCATGTTGATGCCATTACAAATGTTAAAGTTTAAACAAGGCACGGTTTGCTAGAATAACAACCACAATATATATGGAATATGGAAAGGTGCAAATAAAAAGTATGCCCGGCTCAGCTAGAGGCTAGGGTGGGTGGGGCTACAAACCTGTGGGGGCATTGGTTAATCAGTGCGCCCCAGGTCAGTCAGCCACCAGCGCTAACATGTGAGCAAGGTCAAATATCACCTCCTTTCTTTCTCCCAAGCCCTGTTGTTGCCATTTTCCTTTCTGTTAAATAAGGTGAGTTAGATCCGAGTCTTCCTGACAGTTCACAGTGTGCCGCTGGCCCGGTGTAATTCAAATGTACCGCCACGCGCAGCACAGACACACAGCTGCTGCCCAGCCGCAGCACAGACACACAGCTGCTGCCCAGCCGCAGCACAGACACACAGCTGCTGCCCAGCCGCAGCACAGACACACAGCTGCTGCCCAGCCGCAGCACAGACACACAGCTGCTGCCCAGCCGCAGCACAGACACACAGCTGCTGCCCAGCCGCAGCACAGACACACAGCTGCTGCCCAGCCGCAGCACCGGAAATGGAACTGCTGGGAGAAAAACTGACTATCAGAGATGTAACGTTATCTTTGATCATATTTCGTCTCCTCCTTTTTCGTCAACGAAAGTAAAGAGAGATTTATTTAGTAAACTACATTTTCCGTCTCGTAATTTTTTCATCAACGATATTGCATGTTGATATCGTTACAGTTATACTTACGTCGGTGCCGTCGCGTCATCGTCTCAGTCATGGCAAAAAAGGCCGTTGACGAACATATTTCGTCATACTTTTAGTCAACGAAATGAACACTATTCCTAACATCAGGTTGCACACTTCCACTAAATGTCATTAAAACAATTATACATAATCCTGCAGACAAAACAATCATTTATATATAAAATAATATAAAAACACCTGCAGAGGAATACTAATTAAATTAAAATAATAAATGGCTGCTGATGATCCACGCTGATTACATTATATAAATGATATTCCATACGTCGGTTCGCTGCTAAATCCAATTATTCCTTGTGTGTGTGTGTGTGTGTGTGTGTGTGTGTGTGTGTGTGTGTGTGTGTGTGTGTGTGTGTGTGTGTGTGTGTGTGTGTGTGTGTGTGTGTGTGTGTGTGTGTGTGTGTGTGTGTGTGTGTGTGTGTGTGTGTGTGTGTGTGTGTGTGTGTGTTGTGTGTGTCCTGCATTATCTGATTAAAGCCTTGCGACACATTAATGTAATATTTAATTTGATCAAACATCATGTGACGGACCGTGTGAAGTTCAAACAGAGCAGATTTTAATTAAAATATTTCTTTATGTCTCAACTGTCTGTTAAAATCCCTGGGCATTAGCATATTGGCATATTAGCATATTAGCACACTCACAAGGAGACACATGTTCTTTGTTTATCAGGGACAACTTTTAAATCACTTCATTGCAAGACAGGTATCTAATTAATGTGAGACTGTCATCATCTATGGAGCTAGAAATGTTAACAATCGTGCCGTATATGTGTCTCAAAATACGTACATTGATTGAACTTAGTCTTCTAGTTTCCGTTCTCACACTTGTTTACATCTTCTGTTTGTGTTTCCCCCACAGGTCGTTCCAGGATCTGGCCCGTCAGATGGAGGTGGATTACGGCACGGTTCGGGACTCGGCGGTCTACGATTACTTCCGGAACAAAGGCACGAACCCTCTGGAGCAGGACAGCACGTACGCAGAGCTGTGGAGGACGCTCAGCCGCAACAACGGGCAGGACTTCTCCGTGTCCAGCCCATCAGAGGGCATCCGCAAGGTCAGTGAAAACAAGACCCTCACAAGACCATCAAAAGACCCTAACAAGACCCTAAAAAAGGAGCCTGTGACCTAAGATTGTCATCGTCATAACTACACTGTAGCTACATACGTATGACTAATAAAAGCCTTGAACCTTGAACAAGACCCTAAAATGACCCTAAAAGACCCAAACAAGACCCTAAAAAGACCCAAACAAGACCCTAAAAAGACCCTAAAAAGACCCTAACAAGACCCTAAAAAGACCCTAAAAAGACCCTAAAATGACCCTAACAAGACCCTAACAAGACCCTAACAAGACCCTAAAAAGACCCTAAAAAGACCCTAACAAGACCCTAAAAAGACCCTAAAAAGACCCTAACAAGACCCTAAAAAGACCCTAAAATGACCCTAAAAAGACCCTAACAAGACCCTAAAAAGACCCTAACAAGACCCTAACAAGACCCTAACAAGACCCTAAAAAGACCCTAACAAGACCCTAAAATGACCCTAATAAGACCCTAACAAGACCCTAAAAGACCCAAACAAGACCCTAAAAAGACCCAAACAAGACCTTAAAAAGACCCTAAAATGACCCTAAAAAGACCCTAAAAGACCCAAACAAGACCCTTACACCGGGGACAAAGCAGAAATAAGCAGAGAATATATTGTTAGTAAACTGACACTGAAGTAGACCTATATCAGTAATAGTCTCTTTGCCAGCTCATAGAGTTGTGAACCCGGAAATGTTGAGTACCCAAAAGTTTTATGATATAAATGTAGAGTAGGGTCTCCAGAACATAGAAACTGCCGGATGCTAACCGGCAGATGTTGGGCAATTTGCACAATTTGCATTAGTTGCATTAGTTGCATTAATTAGCATGAATTAGCATGAATTGCCTATACTGTATGGAAAATAGATGAATAATGGCTACATGGACGATATTGGAGTGGGTTTGGGGGTCATTACGCTCGCTGAGTCCATTTCTGCCATTTCCAGGATAAAAAATGTCAGTTTTAACCAGAAAGTGGCCATATTTGTATATTTTGAGTTGATTTAGAAGTTGTGGAGGACGCTGGCTCGTTGGTACTGGACAGATTGCTTATCTATTTGTCCAAAGTTGAGGTAATCATGTGCTCGCCTCAGGACTCATGCCGTAGCCAATCGTTTTCAGCAGAATCCAACAAATATCCTGTTTACTAATTACTGCTAATTAATGCAACCTGTGCTCATTGTGCAAATGCCCGACATATGCATGTTAGCATCCGGCAGTTTTTACGAATGAAATGTTTTAACCGGTTTGGAAACATTTAACATTAGCTTCACTTCAAATCAACCTGAAGGCATGAATTGGTTGACAATTGGAATCAAAAACATCCAGAGAGACGATTAAAAAAAAAACAAGGATGTCAAAATGAAAAATGAAAAATGTGTTTGTCTCCTGTAAGAAAAAGTGGGAGGATTTCAAGTTAAGGAGTATCAACAGTGAGAACAAACACACACACACACACACACACACACACACACACACACACACACACACACACACACACACACAGAGACACACACAACACACACACACACACACACACACACACACACACACACACACTCACACACACACACACACACACACAACACACAACACACACACACACACACACACACACACACACACACACACACACACACACACACACACACACACCACACACACACACACACAACACACACACACACACACACACACACACACACACACACACACACAGATTGATATTTTTAGGGTGATCTCAGCTTCTTATTTGGGAATCTGAATCATTTAAAATGTGATTCATGTGAATTAATTAGCCGTCTATCAGTCTCCGTACAAGTGTTTCACTGGCTCTGATTCATATTCAAACACACACACTCTCACACAAACACACATACTCTAACACACACACACACACACACACACACACACACACACACACACTCATCCTGTTTAATTCACAGCAGGCAAAAACGCAAACGCATTCCTCTGTTTACTCATCCCTTAATTGCAACAGCAGATGCACAATACACCAATTAGTGAGTCTGTGTGTGTGTGTGTGTGTGTGTGTGTGTGTGTGTGTGTGTGTGTGTGTGTGTGTGTGTGTGTGTGTGTGTGTGTGTGTGTGTGTGTGTGTGTGTGTGTGTGTGTGTGTGTGTGTGTGTGTGTGTGTGTCTGCTGTACGTTATTGGACTCATAGATCTCCCAAAAAGCCGACGATGATAAATTAGCATCGGAGACAAATCGGCTCATAGAGCATCCATTATACTGTCATTTGCATGATGAACACACACACACACACACACACACACACACACACACACACACACACACACACACACACACCTCCTCTCTTGAATTTTTCTTTCTTTGACGTGATCTCCCAGCATCCCAACAGCTACACACATTTTAATCAGTTTATTGTAATTGTCCATTGTTGAATGCTTTTTGGCTACACACTCACACACACACACACACACACACACACACACACACACACACACACACACACACACACACACACACACACACACACACACACTCCTGCAGTGTCTCCTGAGGACACTGTCTCTATTCATGCTGTATTGTCAAACTGAGAGAGTGTGTCCTCAGAACATCAAAGGAACAGAGAGAGAAGCTTCTTCATAATCTCTAGCGATCTGAAGAAATGCTCAAAATCTGCACGTTTTTGTCAAAAGTTGTAACTATTCAGGGATTCTTTTTGCAACTCTCTGATCCAGAAACAGCTGTTAGGCTGCTCACAGTCATTGCCACGATGTAAACTGTATTGATCCAGCTTCAACAAGTCATTGCAAATAATATGTTGCATGCTCCGGGTCTGGAAGAAGAGTACATCCACAGAGTATCTTTAGCACTTCAGATAAGAGGTGTCAGGGTGGGCTAGTAGGTTCAAAGTGTAATACATAAGAGGACATACGTTGTGGTGCATCCTCATAGGCTGTACTTCTGCAACACACTCTGCCATTTCTGAAAAAACCCAATAAAAGATGAAAAATAAATCCAAATGCAGAAAAAGTGAGTTTAATATCTGACTTAAAACTAAAACCTGCAGTATATCAGTACGTGTGTTCTCTTCTTTTAGATAATCTGTTTATATATCATTTGTAAGTCAATACTATTGTTGTTTATCAATTTGATACTGCTTAAGTTTGTACAGTTTCATAATTGTCTAACTCTATTATTTTGTGTAATATTGTTTTACACGTTCGAAATAAATCAAATCAAATCTGTTCCCTGCAAAGTGAGTTTAATATCAGTCTTGAAACTAAAACCTCTGCAGTTCATCAGTGAGTGTGTCTTCTGTTCCCTGTTCCCTGTCTGCAGGCGAAGAAGGGTCCGTACGCCTTCCTGTGGGACCTGGCGGTGCTGGAGTACGCGGCGCTGACTGATGACGACTGCACCATCACCGTGTCGGGGAACAGGTTCAGCAGCAAGGGCTACGGCATCGCCATGCAGCACGGCAGCCCCTACAGAGACCTGTTCTCCCAGAAGTGAGTCAGGACACACCCGGAAACACCCGGAAAGTGCTTTAAAGGGGACCTATCATGCAAAATGCACTTGTGTACGTCTTTTCTACATGAATATGTGTCCCCGGTGTTCCAGGGAACTCACCAAGTGTCAGAAAACACAACCCTCTCTATTTTCCTCCATACCCAAATCTCTAAAAAAGGGGCTGCAACGGATCTGATAAAAACTGATCCAGATTTGAACACTGTCCTGACGTCAGGACGGTGGCGCTACGGCTATTGGGCCAACTCCACCAATCAGGAGGAGACAGCCACGGCCATTGCCATTCTAAAGCGCAGGAGACGCTGTAGTACATATGCCAGGCCTGTAGATGGTGCTGTTCTCACAGAATCTGCCCTTGCTAAAACAGATCTAAAAAATGTCAAATTGAGCAAAATGAGGCATGGCTAAAATGCATGATCTGTTTGGTATTTTGAAAAAAAAAAAGTATAAATATGCCTTATATAGGTATAGTCCTATACTATATTATTCAAATATAGCATGATAGGTCCACTTTAACTAACCCTGAGAACATCACCTTTTAGAGAGTCTGATACGTCTCTGTTCACACAGCGCTTTTCAACATATTTGATGTCAAATGTAGCTGAAAAATAGACATGTAGTGTTGCAAAAACTGTGTGCACCAAACCTCACCTGGAAATAACTGTTTAGGAACATGTCTGATAATGCTAAGTGCCATAACTTATGTATATAATAAATGCAGAGACCTGTTCTCCCAGAAGTGAGTCAGAACACACAGCGTTTGTTGGATACCAAATACAGCGACATGTAGCTCAAATATAGACATGTAGTGATGCCAAAACTGTGTGCACCAAACCTCACCTGTTCTCCCGGAAGTGAGGCCACATTGGCACCAGGAAACACCTCCTTTTGGAGAGTTTGATTATTCACCTGTATCTGTTGTTGAAAACGTACCTAAAATGTTTTATGCGCTTATTTGAACAATGTGATTTCATGACCTCTTAAAAACGAATTTGATCCAAACTAATTTGACCAAAAAAACAGCTGTGTGCGTCACTTTGTAGTGTTTTTAGATTTACTGTGAAGCAGCACGTTTCTTAAAATCTGAATTTCAGAAAAAACGTTTGAATTTCCGATATAAGAGTCATTTTATAAGAAAAAGCTCAAACATTCCCTGCGTTTTAAGTGGTTACTTTACGTAAACGATAGAAAACATCTTGCCTTTCCTCTTACTGCTCTAGTCATGTTGTGTGCAGAGCGTCCTGCAGAGCGGATCTGTTTCCTGTTGAGAGTTTCCTCCGAGTGTTCCTCTCTCTTCCTGTCAGCTGACTCTCTTCCACAGAGTCTGGAGTTAATGATGAAGGTCGGAGGCTTAACGTCTTCTTTGTTGGTATTAAACCTCCATTAATCGCCTGTAAATCCCGTCTGTCGCAATCCCAGCTTTGAGCTTCATGCTAACGAGGGGCGCTGTGGATGAAAGTGTCCCGCAGATGTTTTGAGGGTGATGAAGGTGTTTGGAAACTCCTGAATCAATAACTCTAAAGTCCATTAATCTGCGGGCATTAGAGTAAACACAGAGCCGTGTGATAATCACCTTCCGCAGATTTCATCTCCTCTCTGTTCACAAACACAAATTGATCCCGGAGCGAGCTTTTTAAAATCTTGTAGATCATTTAGTAAATCTGCACGTTGTTACATCATGAAGTAACGGTGAGAAACACGTTCTCAGCCGCCTCGAATCGATCGGCAGGAAGTCAGAGAGAAGGAACTTTACCTGGAAAAGGAGGTGGATAAACATAGTGACGTTTGAATAGGTAACATTGCCCCTCTCTTACCTCTTGAATCTCAGAGAATATCCACATTTATTTTTGCAGAAATGCACAACTCGTCACAAAATCTGTGTTTCTTTGGAGAAAATTCAACTTTTCTTAATTGAAAAGTCTAAATGTCTTCAATGGATTCCTTGTCATGTGACCCTGTAACTCCAAATCAATGCAGCTTTGTATTACTGCACTGAACACGTCTTGATATTGAGTTTTAACCCAGCTTTTGTTTGGATTGGCAGCTGAGAAAAGGAGTTTACATTTCTCATTTTGAATTAACAACATGAACAAGTTCTCAGCCGCCTCGAATCGATCGGCAGGACGTTAGAGAGAAAGGAACTTTTGGACATTTTCTATATAATATTTGATATTGTTTGTATTTGATATCATATTTTTCATTTTCATTTTCATTTTATTTTGTAATTGTAATTTTTTCTATTCCACTTTTTTAAGTATTTGTATTTTAATGTCTGCTTTTGTAACGAAATAATTTCCCTAATTGGGATCAATCAAGTATACATCTATCTATCTATCCATCTGTACCTGGAAAAGGAGGTGGTAAATAATAGTGACGTTTGAATAGGTAACATTCCCCCTCTCTTACCTCTTGAATCTCAGAGAATACACACTTTTATCTTGAAGGATGGTGAGTTATTTAAAGGGGACCTATCATGCAAAATGCACTTGTGTACGTCTTTTCTACATGAATATGTGTCCCCGGTGTTCCAGGGAACTCACCAAGTGTCAGAAAACACAACCCTCTCTATTTTCCTCCATACCCAAATCTCTAAAAAAGGGGCTGCAACGGATCTGATAAAAACTGATCCAGATTTGAACACTGTCCTGACGTCAGGACGGTGGCGCTACGGCTATTGGGCCATCTCCACCAATCAGGAGGAGACAGCCACGGCCATTGCCGTTCGAAAGCGCTGGAGACGCTGTAGTACATATGCCAGGCCTGTAGGTGGTGCTGTTCTCACTGAATCAGCCCTTACTAAAACAGAGCTAGAAAAATGTCAAATTGAGCGAAATGAGGCATGGCTAAAATGCATGATCTGTTTGGTATTTTGAAAACAGAAACGTATAAATATGCCTTATATAGGTATGGTCCTACAATATATCATTTAAATATAGCATGATAGGTCCACTTTAACATGTTGGACATTGTCGTCCCAAAGACTCTGTTATTCTTTAGAGATCTTATCAGACGGAGAAACTCAAACTAAGGTGCGGCGTTAACTGGAGTTTCAAACCATTAACGATCTCGTTTCTTACTGGTCTGAACACGTTGGCTCTTCTGTGATATCGTGCATGAAGAAACGTGTCTTTCTGAAGAGTCTTTCGGACTAAATCATTTCCCAAATTGTTTTTTTGCTCGATGTTCAGAGCGTTCCCCGTTGAGACGATGTTTCTAAATCCTGCCTCAGACTCCTCTGTAATTATCAGCTCTGTGTTTGTTGAGGGATTAATGGAGGCTCTGAATGGAGACAAAACGTCCAGTTATTAACGGAGAGTTTAGTCCAGGTTCAGCAGGCGTTCGGGGGGGGGGGGGGGGGGGGGATAATGTGTCAGGGTTTTAAACAGAGGGCAGAGCCTTTGGAAACTCAGATATGTATTTTTGTATGACTTTTGACGACATACTTTCTATGACTTTTTACAACATACTATACTCTGACTTTCTATGACTTTTTACAACATACTATACTCTGACTTTCTATGACTTTTTACAACATACTATACTCTGACTTTCTATGACTTTTTACAACATACTATACTCTGACTTTTTATGACTTTTTACGGCATATTATTCTATTATTTTGTATGACTTTCTATGACTTTTTACAACATACTTTACTCTGACTTTTTATGACTTTTTACAACATACTTTACTATGACTTTTTACGGAATATTGTACTCAGATTTCTCATGACTTTCTATGACTTTTTACAACATACTATACTCTGACTTTTTACGACTTACGGGCCGTCTCCACGGCAGCGTTAAAAAAATCTTGGAGGTGGGCGTATCTGAAGCTTGGGGATTTTTTTGCGATCAACCAATCACATGAATCTCCCGCCCCCGACATACGAAGCAAAAAAGCCCGAAGTAAACTGGATATAAACTCCCCAAAACAGGCGAAAACATACCACTGTCTCTGCCACCTCCCTCCATGCCTGGCTCCTCCGGTTTATATCCCGGTAGGTCTGGTCATAAAGCACCGGGTGATTGATTCGCTACCGCTAATTTCTCCTCCATGTTTTGGAATATGAGGAAATGACCTGCGGTATGTCTCTCCCAGCATACACGCCGTTTGATTGGCTAGAGCTTGAACTGTCAGATTTGCGTACACGGGATTTGATTGGCTGACGCTTCCTCCTCAGCTTCAAAAGTTGAACATTGTTCAACTTTGGATCTTGAAAATCCTGAGAATCTCCGCTCGCCTGCCCACAATGCATTTCGGCGAAAAGTGAGGGAACGTGACGTCACCCCATTCAAAGTGAATGGGCAGAAGCGTTCCAAGATTTTTTAACGCTGCCGTGGAGACGGCCCGTTACTATACTCTGACTTTTTATGACTTTTTACAACATACTTTACTCTTACTTTTTACAACATACTTTACTCTTACTTTTTACGACATACTTTACTGATACTTTTTATGACTTTTTACGACATACTATATTCTGTCTTTTTACGACGTTTTACAAAAATATTAAACTCTAACTTTTTATGACTTTTATGAATTTGTACAACATCAGAATCAGAATAATAGAACATACTGTACCATGACTTTTATGACTTTTTATGACTTTTTAGAACATATTATAATCTGACTTTTTACGACATACTATATTCTGTCTTTTTATGACGTTTTACAAAAATATTAAACTCTGACTTGTTATGACTTTTTACGACATACTTCACTCTGATTCTTGTTTGACTTTCTTGAAATTCTATAATATAAACACAGTTTCCAGTGGAGGTTCAACGGGCGTCCATCGCCCTGAGGCGTCCAGGGGGGGGGGGGCAGGAATAATGTGTGTGGTGTTAAACGGAGGGCAGAGCCATTGTTCAGAGTGGAAACCATTATCTGCACATTTGAATCCACAGTCCCATCACTGCAGCGTTACCTCTGAGCTGCGTCTCCATTGGATAATCCTGCCGTTAATAACCTCGGCTGCTGCGCCTCGTTTCAATCTGTTTCATCCTCGGGGTGTTTCTGTTTCTGGTGTTTGATAGAAAGTCTCGTGCACTGACCTTCAGCTCGCTCACGCTGAGTAGAGCGGATGAAATGCAGCAAATTGAGCTCAGATTCTTTCAACGTAGATTCTGTGGACGTTGCAACGGGAGGAACACGTGCACGTGGAAGAAGAGAGGAGATGTTTCAGGAAGTCATGCACGCTGCAACGAGACGTTTCACCAGAGGATCAAATCCCCGTCACTCTCATCATATCTGCTGGGACTTATTTCAGCAGTTCTTTAAAACATCAGCGTTTAAAATATTTCTGTAGGTCTGGAGTTTGGTTTATTGTTTTTCCCTGACTTAACAGACATTTATTTCAACGAGAATCTTCAAGTAATGAATTTAAAACAATTTTTCTAGATTGCAAAACACTTTCTATGCCTTTTTTATGACTTTTTACGACACAGTAACTTTTTAATGAACTATTTATGTGTTTCTTTATCACATACCAAACACTGACAGTTTCCTCCCTTTCTGACATACTTTCTTTGTCAGAAAGGGAGGAAGAAATACAAATAAAAAAAAAAACGTTTTTGCAACAAATTCATTTATTATTTTTCATTCGAGACAAAAGCAAAACAAATCTATTCAGCTGTCGTTCTGAAAGCAAAACGTAATCACCTGCATTCATCTCTATTAAAGTAAAGCATTTGAAAAACTCAAAGTCTTCCTAAACAGCAAACAGGATCATAGTGGAACACGAGGATTGGTTTTAATGACCGTTATGTTATGTTCTAAACCCTTTCATTGATTAAAACCATTTAGCACATCATGTGACTGCACACGTTGAGTTATTCCAGTAACCAGATTACAGCTGAGACGAGGCTTCATATAGAAATATTGACCAGGCCTATTGATGGAGGTTAATGAATAATAAGAGACTTCAGAGAGCGCTCTGATCTTCTTCACATCGACCCAATGATGGCAGCTTCTCACAGTTTCATACAATACACTATACCAGGACTTGTTTTCATATATTCATCAAACTATACCATGACTTTTATTCTAATATTTCTGACATGCTATATGTTAGAAAACTCTCCCTGGTCCCCGGCTTGAGCTTCAATCTCAGGATCCATGTATCTGTGATCCTCTCCAGAATGGAAGTAGTCATCACATACAGAGCATCAACTAGTTCCTGAACAGTGTCCTTCACATGCTGATATGCAAGAGAGGGAGTTACACAGTCACAAGATGGAGGAATAGAAAGCAGTATTCAATGTTTACTTCAGATTAGCTCCACGTCAGAAATGATCATGCTTGTCATATATGGGTACCACTTTACAATAAGACTACCCTTACTGTATAAAGGGTTTACGAATAGTTTGTAATTCATTTATTAATCAGGTTGTGAACACTTTATAAATCATTAATAAGCTTTTATAAGACATGAGATAAACAGGGCAACAGTGACCGGTTGCTTGCCAAATAGTGAGCCCACATTTATCTGTACTGCTAAGTCTTATATTGGCTTCCTAGCTTACTTCATCTTCATCATCAGCTAGCATCCTTGGTATCTGTTGTTCACTGAGTTGATTCTCACTAAGCAGCCAATATAAGGCTCAGTCATCTTGCCAAATAGTGAGCCTGTGTTGATGAAGAAGACGAAGTAAGCTAAGGAGCCAATATAAGGCTCAGTCATCTTGCCAAATAGTGAGCCTGTGTTTATGTATGAAAACTATGTTTGAACTGGTTTATAAATGGTTCTTAATGATTAATAAAGTGTTTATTCATAACCTAATTATAAACCCTTTATGAATCCTTTATAAGGGTAGTCTTATTGTAAAGTGGTACCCACATATGTCTATCTCCATAGAGGCTGAATCATCATGTTAATCACATAGCTATCATATGCCTCAAACAGTCCTGATGCTCTTCTAGGTAATCATACATCCTGTCATGTTCACAGCTACAGTTGGGATACCTTTGTTATCATGTTACTCTCATATTAGAAGAGGACATTCAGTATTTTCACAACACTATACTATGATATTTTGCCTGATATTTCCGACATGCTCTTCACCCAGCTTACCTTTTCCTCTCCTCTCTCCTCCAGGATCTTGGAGCTCCAGGAGAAGGGGGATCTGGACATAATGAAGCAGAAGTGGTGGCCTCGTACGGGCCGCTGCGACCTGAACTCCCACGCCAGCGCTCACCCTGACGGCCGCTCTCTGAAGCTGCACAGCTTCGCGGGCGTGTTCTGCATCCTGGCGGCCGGGCTGCTGCTGGCCTGCCTGGTGGCCGGGCTGGAGGCCTGGTGGAAGAGCCACCGCTGCAGAGAGGAGGCCCCCAAAGAGGTGACGCAGAGCAGGGTCCACACGGAGGACACGGCCACACTCTACTTTAAGGATCCAGACACCAGCCCTGACTTAGTGGAGCTGCAGTACACCCAGCTGTAGAGAGGAGATTAGTAGTGGAGAGTAGGAGGCTCTGAAACTATCATTGAAATCAAATTTGGTCTTTTTATTATCTCTCCTCCACGTTTTCTTTATTCCAACCATCGCTCCACACCCACTTCGTCCTAAACTTGCAGAAATCAGTTTTATTTTGAACCTCCAGTACACCCAGTTGTAGAGGAGAGGGGAGATTAGGGCAGCTAGTGATGTGGAACCAGCATTGAAATCAAATGTGGTCTTTTTATAACCTCCATGGTTTCTTTTATCCCACCTCGTCCTAAACTTGCTCAAATCTGTTTTATTTGTAAACCTCCTGACTGATTCTCATCATACATATTTTGTTTAACATTTGCTCCAGTACACCCAGCTGTAGAGGAATGAGTTAGTTCAATTCGTGCTGAAGAGTAGGAGGATGTGGAACCATCATTGAAATCAAATGTGGTCTCTTAATATTACCTCTCCTCCATTTTCTATTTTATCCAACCATCGCTCTCCACCTCGTCCTAAACTTATTTTTAACCCTCCTCGTGCTCGGGTCCAATCTGACTGATTTTCATCTTAAATATTGTGTTTAACATTTGCTTCGAGGCCTTATGATATCCTTCACAGTAGGCATTTGAACATATAAACTGCTGATCACCTCTTTCAGTTAATCTTTAGAAATCAAATGTGGTCTCTTATTACCAACCATCGCTCTCCACCTCGTCCTAAACTTGCACATATCTGTTTCTTTTCTAACCCTCCTGTCGTGTTCGGGTCAAATCTGACTGATTTTCATCTTAAATATTGTGTTTAACATTTGATTGAGGACTTAATGGAGCTCCAGTAGAGGAATTAGTTAGGGAAGTTAGTGATGTGGAACTATCATTGAAATCAAATGTGGTCTTTTTATTACCTCTCCTCCATGGTTTCTTTTATCCCACCATCGCTCTCCACCTCGTCCTAAACTTGACTGATTTTCATCTTACAGTAAATATTGTGTTTAACATTTGATTCAAGGCGTTAAAGACTATTAAACACCGGAACTTTTTAAAGAACATCCTTAAACATTCATCTGATTGAGGACTTAGTGGAGCTGCAGTACACCCAGCTGGAGAGGAATTAGTTAGTGACCATCATGGAAATCAAATTAGGTCTCTTCTTCTTCTTATTACCTCTCCTCCATGGTTTCTTTTATCCACCCATCGCTCCCCACCTCGTCCTAAACTTGCACACATCTGTTTTATTTCTAACCCTCCTCGTGTTCGGGTCAAATCTGAGTGATTTTCATCCTAAAGTTTGTGTTTAACATTTGATTCAAGGCTTAATGATATCCTCTACAGTAGGTAGCTGAACATATACATTACTGATCACCTCTGAATTGAAGGCTTAGAGGGTTTCCAGTCATAGGAAGTGAATGGGACACCCTCTAGATCATGTCCATACCTCAGATAGACTTTCAAGATTCAAAGGTTTTATTGTCCTCTGCTCATAAGCTTCTGAGTAGAAATGGCAATGAAACTCTTCTGACCTGAGCTCCTCCAACAATGCAACATATATAATAAAATACAAATAAGAAATAGTGCAAGAAGTCTATATACACCTAAATAGAATAGAATATATATATATATACAAGAACAGAATGTGAAAGTAAGTATTGTACATTACGACGAAATACAGAGATCTGACACACCTGTGTATTCTGCATTTAGTCATAAACACCAGGCATTGTTTACTTCTGTTAAATACAATGTGAAGTTCTTGTTTTGATGTAAGAGCAGTGACGAACACAACAGGAGGGTTAAAAGATAAGATAAGATAATATTAGATTAGATAAGAAGTACTTTATTGATCCCAATTTGGGAAAGGTTTGCGTTGCAGCAGCATAAGGCCTAGGCTCCACGGGAACGAAAACTGGTTGAATCCGCATATTTCTCTTGCGTATAGCCCTTTAACACGACGCCGTAACGGAAACGTAGAAACAGACCCTGCAAACGACAACGGGTCCAAAGGTGGATAGATCTGGGAACGGAGCGCTCTGGGGGGTCCAACGGGGCCGTGTGGTCGCCTATACAGTCATCCGTTTCTGATAATGACGACGCAATAGCCCTGCCTCCCCCCCCCTCTGCTGCTCACCCCCGCAAAAGTACACTGCACACTGAATTCAGATTATTTATCTTTATCTCGATATGGACATAAACGCGAGTGAAGTCTAATCTGACAGGACGGAGACACGCAGCTCCTGCCGCTGTGATGCAGCCGGAGCAAAACACACACTTCAAGTCAGATCATCACCCTTAGCTATTTTAATTACCTCTCAAACTAAACTAGTTATAAATATGTTTATTTTTACTGTCGAGTCACTCATTACAGGATCAGCTGCAGCTGATCAGCTGACAACCATTCTTCTTCGCTGCTTTTGTGGAGGAAGTTACAGCGCCACGTACAGGCTCGGCATATGTACTGCAGCTTTTCCAGCGGTTGGATGTAAACGGAGCTGTCTCGTGTGAACAGACACAATCCGGTGTATATTGCGTGTGGACGGAAGCTTTTTTGCGTTTGCGTTTGCGTTACTCCGATGCGTTTTGCCGTATGCGTTCCCGTGGAGCCGGGGCCAAAGACTTACAATCAAAATTAAAAGACTATAAATAAACAATCCAAAATGTAAACATCTCTATAGAAGTAAAATAGCATTAAAAAAAGTAGAAAATATACATGTTGAAATACAAATTGACAGTAACAAAATGTTAGTGTGACATATCTCACAAATCCTCGCTTAAAAACACTCATATTTTCACATTTCTACTTCATGAAGCCAGATGACTTTAAAACATCTGGTTTGATTCCAAAACAATAGAAAAGATACGTTGAATTACAAATAACACACTGTAGTACACAACACACTCCACTTGACCATCACCTTCACTAACAGCTTCTCCGTGCACTCGGGAGACTTTTTATTATTATTTCTTCTTGATGCATACACTCGAGGCCTTAGTGTGGAATTAGGATTTGACTGTAAGCGTGTTTCCCAGCGTGAACCCGCACACTTTAATGATTCATTCCCACGGTGCTCGCTATTGAATTATTGTTATAAACTAATTTTCTACTGTGAAGATTTCGGTAATTTCCTGCACCCAAAGGGTTGAGAGCAGAGATTATAATTAGCAGCAGTGAGAAACGATAACACACACACACACACACACACACACACACACACACACACACACACACACACACACACACACACACACACACACACACACTTCTGGACATTTTCCATTTCACTGTGAAATCCTTATAAGACAGAAAATCAGAGATGGTAAAAGTAAACACATCCTTTACGTAAAGATACTCTGGTGAAAGTAGAAGTACTGACTAAACTTCTTTCCTCAAGTCAAAGTAAAGAGGCTTTGAAATGTACTTCAGTAAAAAGTACCCATAACTAGCAGCTGTTTTAAAGAGTACCTGACCTCCCTTTATATTAATAGAACAATAATGTCATTGTTAGCTAATGAATGTTTCCATGCTGAACAACGGCAACATGACAACGTTTTCATTGGTCCCTCTTCTTTAGAGAAGACCAGGAAATGATGGATACACGGATCGTGTTCAAATCAATAGGCACGCAATGACTCTAAATAATAATGATCACGCCACCAAACACACATTCAAACTAAAGGAACCAGCCTGTTTGGGAAATGTGAGAAGTAGAAAGTACAGGTATTTGGGTTCAACATGTAAGAAGTAGAAAGTACAGGTATTTGGGTTCAACATGTAAGAAGTAGAAAGTACAGGTATTTGGGTTCAACATGTAAGAAGTAGAAAGTACAGGTATTTGTGTTCAACATGTAAGAAGTAGAAAGTACAGGTATTTGTGTTCAACATGTAAGAAGTAGAAAGTACAGGTATTTGGGTTCAACATGTAAGAAGTAGAGAGTACAGGTATTTGTGTTCAACATGTAAGAAGTAGAAAGTACAGGTATTTGGGTTCAACATGTAAGAAGTAGAAAGTACAGGTATTTGTGTTCAACATGTAAGAAGTAGAAAGTACAGGTATTTGTGTTCAACATGTAAGAAGTAGAGAGTACAGGTATTTGGGTTCAACATGTAAGAAGTAGAAAGTACAGGTATTTGGGTTCAACATGTAAGAAGTAGAGAGTACAGGTATTTGTGTTCAACATGTAAGAAGTAGAAAGTACAGGTATTTGGGTTCAACATGTAAGAAGTAGAAAGTACAGGTATTTGTGTTCAACATGTAAGAAGTAGAAAGTACAGGTATTTGGGTTCAACATGTAAGAAGTAGAAAGTACAGGTATTTGGGTTCAACATGTAAGAAGTAGAAAGTACAGGTATTTGGGTTCAACATGTAAGAAGTAGAAAGTACAGGTATTTGGGTTCAAAATATAAGAAGTCAAAGTAAAAAGTCCTCAGAAAAATAAGTAGTGGAGTAAAGTACTGATACCAGAAACATGTACAGAAGTACAGTAACAAAGTATTTGTACTCCAATACTTCCCAACTCTGCTGAAAAGTAATTTAAATAAGAAAACCTCGACGTGATGCCCACCCTGCGTTGGAAACATTAACGGTGACATTATCTCTGTTATTGCTAATAGAAACTAAAGTGCCTCCTTGCTGTGATTAATGAATCAAAGCTGAGCGAATAGTGACTCCTCCAGAGGAGAAGCAGATCATTTAGATTAATGCACTCTAATAAATATTAATGAACAATAACTCGGAGGAAGCATCTGATAATTGATGTGTTTAGGGAAGATTAATATCAATGAACATTGAAACTCATTGGACACGCCTTGAACCACAGAGGAAACAGAAGTCACCGTGTGCCCCAGAACCAGATGATATACTCATTTAAACTAATTGGATTCCATTATTTTAGTAAATTGTATATTTTTCAAAACTT